TGGGCAAAATTGCTGAAGCTTTTTTTAAATACTTCCTTTTAGCTGGATATCATCGAATGATTTGAGAAATCTGTCTCTAATTGCATCTTTTCCTTGCTCAGCTCAACGACCCTTCATCAGATTCACTACAAAACTGTCGGGGTATTTTGTGGACGTGAGCAAGTTCCATTTTGAGTTTGAGGTTATTTGGACGAAAGGTTCCTCTGTTACCGCTGCTTCCTCCACGACAGCTGCTGCCTGCTGTGTATACATGAAGTGTTATACAAACACACACACAGGCATGTATGTTTGGCTATATTTGTGAGGACATTTACTCTTATTAATGCTTTGCCAAACCTGTTACCCCTAAAACCAAGTCTTAACCCCTTAAATAGGCCTTTGAAAGGGTGTGAGGGGAAAAAATCCTTCGTCACTTTGAATTCCTAAAATGTAAACTAGTTTGTACAAAGACAACTGGACATGACTGCATTTAGGCTTCTTTGTCTTTGGTTTCCTGTGAATCAGTCACTTCACCATAAAGTATATAGCAGTAAACCACGATTTAAAAAAAGACATAATCATGCATCCACATTCAGCGAGCATATATCCTTCTAGCCTTACGCTTTTTAACCATTAATTAATGATTGGTTGTATCTGTGAACTGTAGTTATCAAAACAAGAGTCATACTCACAGAGAGCATATAAACCAAGAGTACCTTGTTGAAGCAACTTTTATGCATTTGACTACATCTTTGTTATGAAGCCTTCATTTAAAAAAATCCAGATTTAGATGCATATCTATATTTATGTCTCTGAATCACTTTCCACTGAAACTGCCACCAGAAATTACCTTTTATTTTATTTTTATTGTATTAACCTTGATACTTAAACCTTTAGCTTATCTCTGTACCTTTTTCTGTCTCAGCTCAGTTACGAGCTACATGGAAATAATTCATGGGAAAACTACGGAGGCCTGTGAAATTATATGTTCTGGTAAGTGAAAGCATATCTTAAAACACTCGTTTGTTTTTTGTACACCATGTTGTATTTAAACATGTAATTGTATAAAGTGGGGTTTCCTGGTAGAATAAAACAAAGTGAACTAACCTTGATTTGTTGAGCCACACAGCAGGGAGATCAACCCTAAATAGAATAACACTCAGTTAGTTTAAGTTTCACAATAATCTGACAAAAGAATATGTGGTGTACTCACACAGCAGCCACAGGACAGATGCACCCTTCATTCTTTCAATTGGTCATATTTGACTGAGACTTAATAATGACACTTCACTCAGTTTACAGTAAAATGAAACTCGCGTCCCCTCCCTTTGTGGTTTTTTTGTCTGAATACAACGAAAGACCCTTTTCCATTCCATAGAAGCAGAAAAATTACGTATTAAGAGATTTGATTGGACCACAACCTTAAGTTAACCATCAGCTCTCTCGTGGTTTGTGTGTTTTGCTGTTTTCAGTCATTGATTTATATTTTTCAGTATTGGCCTCTGTTTGGGGTTTCTTGAATGGCAGTCAGAAATAAAGACAAGGTGGGAGTTTTGGCTCAGACAATAGTAAAGATCCAAAGCGCAGAAAGTATGACAGCTATAGCTGTAAAACAGTGTCTCATGGGCCCCGGCTGGTTAAGGATGTTGTCTGTTTTTGTGTTCTCTTCACCTGCTGTTTCTGAAAATGTTGGGCAGGTCCTGTCCAGACCCACCCACTGGGTGGAGTCCTCAGGTTCCCACTTAACCTGTCACACCTGTTTACTCATCAGGCATCCAGTATTTAAAGACCAGCTCGAGCTAGTGACAGCTAAATGAAGCTTCATGAAGTCTTTCAGCCAATTTGATTGCAAAAGAGTTTAATCCTCAGGCTTCATGTGCACACAGACCTCCCTCGCCACCTGCTGGTCAAAAACTGCCAAACACACAGACTTATCACTCTTCATTTTAAGTGCAGTCTTACATGTTGTGTTGTGTTTTTGTTTTGTTTTGGGGGTGTTGTTGTTTTTTCACTATGGATGCAAAGTCTGTCAATAAAGATTGACTGATTTACTGATCAGTAAAATTACAGATATTTGATTTTCAGATATCATTAAATAAAGCTGTGGTAAAACGAATCATAAATGATCAGACACAAAAAAATAGGGCAGAAGCACTGGGACATCAATGACACAAAAAGTAGTGTATACCATGTTCAAAAGGAAAGCAACACAACCAATGGAACACCAACAGAAAATGTTAACAGACAATAGAACAAAAGGCAGCCAACATCCAAAGAGGATTCAAAGCACTGGCAGCAATATCTAGGGACCTGTAGCCCCTAAAGCACCCACACCCATAGCTATATATTAATAATAATAATAATAATAATAATAATAATAATAATAATAATAATAATAATAAAGTGTTTTCAGTAATAGAATCAAATTTGGAGACTGTATACAAAGACTCCAGTCATTTGTTTTTATTGTTGTGCTTTTTGTTAAGGACAATTAAAGACACTAAAATGTCATTTAGTGCTTTTATTATTATTTTATTATGATCATATTAGTTGACATTATCCCAAAAATCAGCTAACATGAGAAAAGTATAACAACACATTGTTGACAAACATGACACTCAAAATTACATTTTTCATTAGTATTCATGTGAGCCTTTTAGTGATATCAGCAGTGATGCTGGCACATTTGGGGAGAACTGTCTTTATCTGAATCTGGACACAGGCACACACAGCAGGGAAAAGCAGAGAGAGGGGGAGGGAGACCTCTGACCTTTTAACTTGTCAAATGTTTTAAATACTGAGCTTCAGCAAACATTGAATGTGAAATTATTTCATATCACTTTATATCTTTTTTTTTTATCTCAAAGGCAAATGTCTCTTACACTGTATATAATGATGCATTATCTATCAAATAGATAAATATTGTTTATCTAAATATTGTCTGAAAATGAAAGCTTACTTATACGATATGGGTAAAAAGAAAATCCCAAGATGTAAAAAATGTAATAAAATAAGTAGAGTAATATATTAAATATTATTTTATTGGGGGAGAAAATCAGGCCTGTCAGTCATAACTGTCTTAATTCATATAGAATAGATATCAGAGGAAAAACAGGCTGACGTTTGCTAAATGGGTCAAACTGGGCAGAAATAAAACATAAAATCCTTATAAAATCATGTAACACTATAGACCAGGGGTGGGCAACTCCAGGCCTCGAGGGCCGGTTATAGACCCCTGCTATAGTCCAACTAACCTCAGAATATATAAATCATGATGCAACAAACACAGCAGTATTATTAATCCAAAATGATGGCATTTATTTTCAGGTCCATTCTGCTGCTGATACTTGCATACTTTAAGTTTCTGAATATATAACTTTTTACTACCTTATATAGTTTTTACTTGAAGAACTTGAGTAGTTTCTCCCACACTGAAAACACTTTAATGATAACATTATTTTAACATTAGCTAAAAAGATTGATTCCTTTTCTTCACACACTGCTGAGTTTGTCCTGTCTGATCATCACAGGTGGAAGGCCTTTGTCTCATCAGCTCTCCCTCAGAGATTATCACAGATGATCTGCAGCAGTGAGTTTCTCAGTCTGTCCTGACTCTGGACACTTGCATTTCTCAAGCATGGAAATCAAATGTGTGATAAACTGCAGAATTAAAACACAAGTTATTTTATAAATACATGTTATACTTTTATTTTACAATCACAAAGAAAACAAGAGAAGGGAAATGTGCAGGACAGACAGAAAGGTGGCAGGCTCAGAGAGCATACACTACTACAAAAAGAGCGCACTGAGTATTTCCTGTTCGTGTAAGTATTTGTGTTATTAGGGGTACTAAATAAAATGAGGGTTTAAAGTGGTTAAATTACTACACTGGCCAAACGCTCCTGTGAATAAATTACCATTCTTTTAACTTTAACTTTCTCCTTAAAACAAACATTTGACTTGACACCACCAAACAAAACCTGCTTAGGCACCACAATAAACAAACTCACATTAACATTAGTGTAATCGATCCTGATGTTTGTATGGGACTGTAAAAGTGATATTCAGTTGAGTGTCATGGTCCTCCTGTCCTCCACAGCTTTCTGTCAAGGTTTAGGCAGCATTCACAACCTGTCTACATTTTTCAGATTGAAGCAAAGGACCTTGTATGAAAAGCGGTTCATTACTAGAAGCTTTTTAACACAGTCATCTTTGGTGACATCTGGCAAAAAATATGAAGAGCAGCTTGAATCTACAACTT